TTCTTTGAGTCCTTTGGCCACGACATTGTAGTTTTTAATGTCCTAGTACCTTTCCTTTAGGAGTTATTTAACGATATACCTGAGTGACTACTGCGAGTTGCATTTGTCACGAATATTTAAATGCGATTTTAAGACAAATCCTTCATGTTTTTAAAGACTAGTGCAATTCGTCATATATCCGTGAAATTATCATTCTTTAGAGACCTCATTTATAAAGAATAGTTGCGTGTGAGATCCGCAGTTACTGAAGATAATTAGACTTACTTAATATTATTAAGGTTACTTAATATTATTTGGGTTTCTTAATATTACTAGGGGCGGAAATTCCGTTCTGTTTAGCACCACAAATTATTATACCCGTTGAAAAATATTGCAAAGACTTCATTTAATGAACACAGCAATTTCACCGTGTTCTTCAAAGTTGCATTTCATTTCACTCGGACATTCGATTTCCTCGTTATCGTTCTCTTTTTAATGCAATTTAAGGCCCAATCAGTTGGTGAAAAAAGAGAGTACTTCAGGAAAACTATGGAAGTTTTTCATATTCCATTCGTCTTCTTCACATTGTAAATGTGGTGCTGTCTGAGAAACACTGCAAACTAGAGTATCTAACTTTCTGAAACATATAAGAAACTATGGTCTTACTCGCCCCTTTTCCACAAACCACTTTTCTACAAAGTACAGATATCTTGTGCATTCTCCTCATAAGATACTATTATTGCCGAAGCTTAATCAAATTTCAACAAAGTATAGAAGAAAACTTCAAATGTAAGTATTATATTGCCATAAAGTTTTCCTGATACATTCAGTGTACTCTTTAAATGATACATTTTAATCTATTATTTCATACAATAATAGACTTTTTGAGCAATAGAATTAAAAATACAATAAAAAATTATAAATCAATTGGAAATTTACCTCTATGAATACGGGATCAGCAACAAGAACAAATAGATAAGGACCCATCCAGGCTCTAAAAACATATCCATATTCTTTTGTCAATCTAAATATATTTTTTAACAAGTCTGAAACAAATAATAATACTCTATTGAATAACACAGATATGACAAATTTTTTAAAATAAGAAAAATATAAAAGCATTTTATTTTAATTTAAAATAATAATGTTTTATAAAAAATGTAATAAATTATTTATAAATGTAAACACATTTGTGATATTAAATACAGTATTTTCATACCCTACCAAGTATTGAAATACACTATCGAATAGAGAAACATTCACGATCCCGGGTTAAAATTCATGAAATTTATCAATGAACGAAATGCAGTATCAAATTTTATCTTTCTTTTTTTCATTTAGCATTGCGTCGTGTAGCATTAAACAATAGGATACAATACATTAAACAACTGTAACAACAATAATTAATAGTATTCCAATTTTTTTCCGTTCCATCTGTTTGTTTAAAAAATGAATGTAGATAATGACCTATCTACGTCACAAGACGTAATGGAAAAATACTTCAAAAGCAATTTGCATCAACATTAGCTAAAACGTTTCCATTTTGTTTACGTATTGTAAATATGGAATCCCCAGCAGTTAATTGATAAACCCTTTGCACATGAACTACCATCAACAACAAAGGAGAGGCGACATCACATTTAACGGAGGGGAAGTTAAGCTGGCTGCCAGTCAAAGGTCGCTGATTGTGGAGGGGAGAAGCTACTATTATTTCAGTGGATGCCGTGTGAAAGATATTCCCCATGGGGTTTTGTTCGGACGATGGGGCCTCGCAGGACCCAGTGGAGTTCCAAGCGGATAAATCTTATTTCTGTGTATAGTACATTACTTCATCTAACGCACTGTGTAGTGAGAATCATGTTTTGTGGGTCTATGTGACCAAAATAGTTACATGGGAAAACGTTTGTCTGTCCGTTTGTGGTCAACGTTACACTTTAAACTGCAGACGATTTTTTTTCAAAATTGACATTCTTTGATTAATATCAAATCTCAAGGCCCTGAGAATTTGAAAATAATTTTGATTTTTGGGGGAATTGTAGATGAAGCCTCAACAATATTTTCAAACTTTTATCAGAAATGGTTCCCAAATTTTCGTTTGTGTTTTATGGTAGAGCAAAATACTTAATAAGTGTTGCTCGTCTCATTTTCATTAGAATAGCGAAAGTGTTGAAAATTTCAAAATTTCAAAATGGTTTCAGGGACTTCCTACAAGTACTCCATTGGAGAAAAAGCTTTTTCTTTCATGATATCTTTTCGTTAAACATACGTAAATAAGGTCACTTATAATGTTTCGAATATACGAGTCGTTATCGTGAAATTTTGCGTGAAATACAAGAAATTTTAAAAAGCTTTTCTCCAAAACGGAACCAATTGTTTATTTTTTTGGGAGGGGGGGAAGCACGGCTATAAAAATTGTTCAGGCCCCTTTATAATTTTAATTTCAAGCTAATAATAATTATTTTTAAAATATTGATATCAAAAATATTTCCTGGGGGCCGACCTAAAGTTGTCCCCAGTCTGCATTAGTTTCAGAATACGCTTCCGGTATGTGCGTGTGAAGAATTGGAAAGGCTTGCACGTCGTTAGAGAAAGAGGGTGCAGCGAGGAGGCGAGCCACCTAGAAAAAAACAAAAAACAAACGATTCTTCCCGGTGGTTCCCATTTGGGCTGGAACTCACTTTCACCCCGACCAACCCCAGAGCTGAGCGTGGACCTCCCCCGCTGGTCTGGGGCTGCCTCTTCAACTTCCTCAGAGGCCTAGGAATGGGAGAGACTGGGAGGGCGCCATTGGGCGTTAATCCAGCACCGGTCAAGAGAACGAGAATTCGGTGTCGCGTGTTGCGGCGTTCGCGCCGCGTCAGTCGCCGGGGACATAAAATCCGCAATTAAAATGGGCAGTGCATGAGTCATTCGCATACAATTAAATAGCATAATCAAGGTTCTACTCGTTGTTGGACTTTGCAAATACTTACCCACCGGAGTACGACCTAATTCGAGGGCAGCTCCTATGATTGGCAGCGATTTCGGCCCAGGCAAGAAATTACCCGTATTGCGGGCAGCTCGAGATAACACAAATATATAGTATTGCAAGATGGAAATCAGCATTACCAGAATCGCCAGAGGAAGGAAAGTTGTGATCCACATTGTCAGTGAGACAGCTAGAAATAAAAAAGGAAATTAAAAAAAATTGGGGTCTCATTGAGCAGGTATGTTTATCTGAGTTATGACATATGGTGCCATTTACAATTAATAATCCCCAAATACACATTTGGGGTATGCAATATACTTCCTATAGATAACCCCATTCCAAAACAGTCCAAAATAGGGTTATGGGGGGTCTTTTAGAAATATTTTCAAAATTGTAAATTAATTTTGATGGCAAAATCATAACAGGGGAATAGTTTTGTGGTGTAAAGGGAAATCTAAGAATAATGTAGATGATGAATAATAGGAAAAATAAAACTAGAAATGATAAAAAAGCATGAAATTTATTCATAATTATTATATCATGTACTTTGCAAAAGGAAAAATCTATGTTTATATTAATATAAATTTTTACAGTTCGATGAAGATTCATGATAGGCCATTTCGTCTTTTTTTAATGTCTCTGTTTTTTTGCATCTGACCTTATCATGAGCATGATCCCAGTAACGTAGTATAGAAAAAAGTCCAGAATATTTTAAGACTGATTTTTCTTGTGTTACTTAAATTGTTGTCGTGATTATTGAAGAGATTTAAGACAGATTTTTCTCATAATCATTTTCCCGTACCAAGGACCAATAAATGACCCATGGATTCTGATAATTGATGGATATACGACGTATTAGAGGATTTTTTCTTATTTTCTCAACTGTATTTCTCTTCTTTTTTTCGTTCCCAGGGCACTGTAATAAAAGGTTTTCTGCCGAGGCTTTGCCGTTTTATCGCAAAGCATTACATAACTTTCTCTTAAGAAGTTCCTCCTCAAGCGCGGAAAAGTAAAAATTGAGAACACTATTACAAGACACCGCCATACACCCTGAAGCTTTTAAAACTTAACACCCGGTCTCCTAAAACAATTTTCCCCTGGAAGAATCCTTGCTGCCGGCTGCTCTGATGGTTTCTGCGATCAACACCAATTGAATGTTGGAGCAAAACCCTAAGAAACAGAGTATGGACAGCACTCGATCTCACCTTCCTCTTTCGTGTCTTATTCTCACCCTTTACACACACACATTCACTAAAACGCACTACACTGCCACATAACGGAGTTTTTCCCCAACCAGTTATCACCCACCAGCATCCTCCCATCACCCCAGCCGAGAGAAGCTCTCAGCTCCGGACGGTAGATCGGCGCTGAATTTCTTCGTAGAGTGGGGGGGGGGGAGATCTCCACGATCGTCATTTCCTGAGGAAGCCTGCGACATGACATACGAAACCTCGGCACCTCAGACAACGATGCGGCGTCATCCAGCCAGCCAAGAAGCCTAAGATCATCGCCAGCTCCCGGGCATGCACTTCACTTGCGGGACTAATGGCCCTAGTAGTAAGCGTGCCCGGAATTTCAACTAATCAACCAATCACCAATTTTCACGTTTCCTTTATCACACATCCAACTTATACTCTCCACTCTTCTTGAAATTAGTGTTAAATGAACTCCACTATTACAAATGCAAAATCAAGTACATTGTTCAGACCAGTAAAAAGTTCGATGTCAGAATTTACGTACATACATGGGAACAACACATGTAGAATCCAGAATAATACTGTGCTTACACATCTCATAAACAAGGCCCACATGTTCCACATAGCTTCAGACTGAATATTCTTGAAATAGTGAAATTTTTGAATTAGAGTGTGTTTGGCATTTTTTAATCCATCCAGTAATCTGTCAATATTCTCAACCCCCATACTAACTTTTATGATATCCCTCTGGTAACTATCTTACACATTCATCTTCCAGCAACTGACTCTGACTCCTCTTAATCTTACTATTCGACTTCCCCCCCCTCCTCCTCCTCATCCCCTTCATTCTCCTCCGTTTCAACTTCCTCCTCCTCCTTTTCCAGTTCCTCCTCCTCCTCCACTTCCTCCTCCTTCTCTTCTTCCTCCTCCTCCTCCTGCTCGTCCTCCTCCTCCTCCGAGCACTGGGAACGACCACGCGTAGGGGTTGGGTGGGTAAGTATAGACGCTAGCACGGGGAGAGTGGAGGAAAGCAGAGAGGCGAGAACGAGGTGAGGTTGGGGCAGGAGAAGTAATAGTCAAATTCGGAGAGAGATTGTGATGAACCACAGTGTTCGCAGTTCAGTCAGGTTGACGTGTCGTGCTTGTCCATTATTGATTACATAAACCGAGATTTCCTCTTAAGTTCACCTCTGCTATAAGTCCGACGGACGTATCAGTTTAATCGCCGCCCGCCGTCGCCAAAGCAGAGCGTCGTCGCCTGGAGGGTTTGGAGCGCCCTCGCGGTCTGGGAGCGGCCGTCGCCCGGGTCTCCGCAGCAAGGCCAGCGGCCTTCCCCCAGCAGATCAGCCGATTCGAGCCAGCCACCACGGTGACGTTATTCGCAAGAGCTTCGGCCAATAAGCTCTCAACTGCCTTGCAGGGCTAACTGCTAACGAGAGAAAAGATTCTCAGCCGCGCTTTGGCTTGCAAGTAAGGAATCTGCGATTAAAAAGCTTGTAAATTATTTTCATAGAATTTAGTTCAATAATTTTGGATTATCACTGTGGGGAATTGAATACGATCTCGTGCTAACTCTAGGAAAATTATTGTAATTGTTAAGGGTCTTACGACTCACCTCTTACGAAGAAAAAACCGACTTTGTGGCAATACCTGAGTGCTTGCGGGATGCATTTGACATGAATATTTAGATGATTTTTTAAGACAAATCCTTCATATTTTTAAAGTCAAAGTGCAATGCGTCACGACTACTTGAGTATCTTTCTTTGACCTTATTTATAAAGATCGGTTGCGTATGAGAGCCACAAAAGATATGTATTCAACTGAAATAATATATGTATAGACATAGATAAGTGACCTTTCGTTAAGTGATACATGTTCTATACCTTACAAAAAATATGACTGACACTGACAAAAAATATGGATTACCAAATAGGTTTCGAATCATTTCTAAAAGGATAATTTGTAAACGCAAGCTCGACTACATAAAGTAGCTTTATCTTATCACGGACATCATCGCGACATTCAACAACAATGAGATTGTCAAATTTCCATTGAGACATTGTTGCGCAAATTTCAATTAAGTTTTGATTGCTTCAAAGTAATGCATCCATACATTGAGAATAAAGGTTTTAGAATAGATTCCAAATATAATTAATATTGGTAATTTCAATTGTAAATTATAATTTACTTTTTTTCGTATCTTCTGGATCCATTTCTGTTTTCCGAGATTTTTTCTCTTTTTTTTAAAAAAAAAACAAAACAAAACAAAAAAAACGCATGGCTCTTTTGAATGATTTGAATTTCTAGAACACCCTTTGTCTGAGGCAAAAATGTCTAACATTTTGTAGTTTTTAATTTTTTTGCATATTTTGAAAACCGAGCGATATTTGAAAATGGAAATAACACAATTTTTACCGTCCCTTATATATACATATATATATATATATATATATATATATATATATATATATATATTGAATTTTTGTAAGTTTAAAAACAAATGTTTTAATTATGATGACACCTGCACCACTCTCTTCAAAATCCGTTGCACTATCGAACTACAAAATTTAATAAAAAATGTGGAAGCATTTTTTGAAAATGCGAAAGACACTTGATGTACGTTTCCCCAACAAAAATTAAAATATTGTTTTCAAATTCGTGAGGTCACGTTATCAGCCACGGTGATTAGGGAATACCAATTTTGGAGAAATTAAGCTGAACGGCTTAGCCGCTAGCGTTGTTCACGGACAGACGTTTTGCCGTCAATCGATTTTTCGGTATAAAGGACACCCTAAACATGTTACACCACGTGTTACAGTAATTGTTTAATATTCTGTATATGGTAACTGAATTCATCCACTTTTTCGTCACCAGGATGCGGCAATAAGAGATTTTGTGTTGAAAATTTTCTGTTTTCCCGCGTACGATTACAGTACTTTCCTTTTTTACGTTATTAAGTACGAGAAAATAAAAACACTTATTGTATAATGAAGTAAAAGGAATTTAAGTGTAAACAATATCTCACCAAAAATGGAAGACAAAAGTACTGGCACATGCAGATTCAACATTCTCTGTAACTTCAATGTGGCCGCAGCAGACTAGATTGACCTTCTCTTTGTCTGTCGGGGCTCACCTCTTAACCCTTAGCTGAAACGCTTTTTGTATCAATTACCTGGCTGGTATTCTTCATAATAAGGTTATTCAAAAGCATGCGACCCTGAAGCGTTGTTCATTAAAATTCACTTAAAGGAAGAGAGACCTAATAATTCATTTGAAGAATGAATGTAGATCTGCGAACAAAATTGGAAAAGTTGGGCCAAGATGTAAATGATAGATATTGTGTTCGGAAAACCGTGACGAGCAACGCAGGAGTGGATGCCCGCAGTTACTGAATGAACGTGACACACGAAAAATTCTTCACGACACTGAAATAAATCCAAAATTTAGAGTACCGTAACTTGCTTCTGGGATAGACGATTTTCCCCATTACCGTTCGCGGAGTGCAAAGAAACAATGAGTAGCGTGTGGCGCATAGGAAATTCTTATTGATTCTCAATGATATTAACAGAAAAAACAACTTATAATTTATTAAAATTCAAGGAAACAGTTCCCAAGAAATGTTTTTGCTTATGAAAGTATATTTAATATTTTTCGCGCAGATGAGAGATGAATGTTATGGAGAAAGATTAACTCTGGGTTCAAGTCCCGCCTCGGGAATGGTGGTATTGTGTGTGTCTGTATGTTCGTATGTGTCTATTTCATCATTAATCATCATCATTTCATCCACTTCTCCAGAGCTAAAAACTCTGGGGTATAAAAATGGAATCAGCAATAAAATGCTGATTCCCCCTATAGAATAGAAACGTAGCACCTACTCCGAACTCTGAATCCCGGTGGAATGAACGTATGGCGTGGCCTGGCTCCATGATGATCAGTTCGCGAAACAAAATAATAATAATAATAATAATAATAATAATAATAATAATAATAATAATAATAATAATCTATCCTATGGCCGATATCGCTAAAGTAGTACTGACATAGCGGTATCGGACCAGTAGAGAGCGGGGTTTAGTCCCGTAGCGGGCATGGGTGTATTTATCGGTGATGACTATGTGTGTGCGGCTCTTTAATCCCTCACTATCGTCATCATTTTATCTTTCATACTCTCAGGTGTAACAGCCCTGAAGTATAAAAACCGGATCTAGTTCAAAGCTGTTACATGCACCTGCCACCGAGACAATGGTACTGAGACCCGGTAAATGCAGGATGCGTGTACGCGTGGTCCACAACATAGTCGCATTCTCTCTTCGACCACGGTACAGTGCAGTTCACTCTTATCGCAGTCGATATCGCTCCGCGCTGGACAGGCTGCCTCAGAGTTCTTATCTTACGTTGAGGCAACGCGAGTGACTATAGTGTTGTGCTAGTGTTGTGTACAACAGTCTGATCACAACCAGATAAGGAAAGTAAAGTTAAGCCAATGCATTAATATGCACAGGCAACCAATATCTGAATGCCCTGCGCATCGTCTCCAACGCGACAACGGGCGTTTTACCAGTTGTCACCAATCAGAGCGCGAGGCATGGATATAAGCTCCGTCTTCGACGCCATTCCAACCACCCAGGAAGCAAACCTGCCTAATCACCAGATCTAGTGTCGCATCACGCACCATCACAACCTGCTCAGGCGCAAAAGGTCGTCAGTGATAGTGAAAGTGATTCCCGAGCGTAGATAAATGAATATGGACGCAGTAACAATACGACGGCAAATCAAAAAAACCACTGAGTTTAATACAATGTACCTAAGGAACAATATCTGAGCGGCGAAAAGTGAGAGCCCGCGAGATATTCTATGAAAATGATAAGAACGCACTGGAGCCGAACGTTTATGTTTCTTCGTCTTCTTTGTACACTTCCCTCCTCTTACATTGATACACACGTACAATTCACTATACTACCGCACATATAGTGAAATCGGTCGGGAGATAAGATCTTGTCCATGATGAGGAGCCACCGTTTGTCGGTGAGCAAGCAGTATGTATGTCAGCAGAAATTGAGCAGAGAAAACTGGAGAGAGCAAGTAAACTCTGGCAAGAGCAGAGGGAGATCCATGTAAGTTGGAACACCAATAGCCATATGTGAGTGAAAGGCTGCCAAAGGCCGGATTAGAACGCCGCTACCTGTCCTGGAATAAGGGCCTAAGCGATTAACGATACGTTCACGGCAATAAAATTAACCTAAAGTAGTTGATGAGAAGCAACTATATATGTTAGATAAACTTACTCATATTTGCGGGTACTTCGTCTATTCTTTCAAGGGCCTGTATCAAATATTCTAACATATTAAATTTGCTGAACATGTTTCAACATTCATATTCATGTAATCCGCAATAAAAACTTTTTAAAAAGTGTTCAGCCCACATGGAGCCAAACAGAGCTCGTAATGGAGTGTGTTTGCTTGCCATTACGGGCTAGCCACTCTACTGGTGATTGTTTAAGCTCCTGGGTCGAACAAAGAGTAAACTAGGCTATCCTTGGTTCAAGCTAGAAAGAAGCCCCTTCTCTCTCTCTCTCTCTCGACGAGAGAGTTGCAGTGCCCATGCTGTGCGTGCAAGACCCCCAAGAAATATTTTTTATTCTAGAAAAATAAAATTATATATGAGCAGATTCACAAAATACTTTGTTGTTAGAGAATATGTTACATGTATTATTATAAAAATATTAAAGACAATATTTTTGTTGGTGCTGGTATATAATTTTCCTTCATAACGTTTGCAGAAAAGCATGGAAAAAAGTTATTATTGACTATAAGTCGTTCGTAAACGAGTATACCAACTATAAATTTTAATGTTTGTTGGCCCTTTCCCACACTTACAGGGTCTTTATACCCATGTAATATTGCTAATTAACTTGTCCAGAGCATGACGCAAAGTAATAAAATTGCGATGGGATTCCTTTGTTATACATGTAGAGCGTGTTCCAACTAGTCTATTACTTAATTCTTTGTCTAATGTTTAGTGATACCAGAGAATCACTGCAGAATTTCAATTTTGTTCTGGCACAATGGAGATACAAGTTCACTTTGCGGGTGTTGGGCTACACAGTTTTTTAACTTTCGGAAAACTTTCTTCTATAACTTTCATTTTTAAAATGCTAATTTTAACAGATTGAAAGTTATTATTTTGCAATAATAGATCGAATATATGATTATTCCATGCAAGTGAGCGGTGTTATATGGATATAACATTATATGGGAATTACAGCGTTATATCTATTAGATATGTTTTTTTAAATATATTTTCTTCTATATCAGGGTTTTAACCATTTATGTGAAATAAAATAACTGCGTAGGTGACAAGGAGATTCGGTCTACGTTTATGTAACGTAGAGAGCGGTACTTTATCTAGTTACAATACATCTACGTAATTGAAGTGCAAACTAAGTTTCCTTAGCAAACTTTAATCATGTATAAAGTATAATACGTGTTACTTAACAGTGCGTATTCAGCAAGCGGCAAATAAAGCATTCCGAGGAAAATGAATAAATGATGTCTCACAGCGTTATGACCGCTTATATATACATTCAATCAATCTTGAAGATATTTTGCTACTCGCTCTGAAGAATAGAATTGGAATTATTCGTCGAAATACCCTATCGTGATGTGTACTAGAAACAAAGATGATTAGTTCAATCGACCTTCACAGTGTGTCAACAGTTGAGAGTGGATTCGCCACACTTAATTGTTATTATTGTCAAATCAAACCGATGCATCGCCGTCTGTTGAACGCATCCGCGTAGGAAGATGGCGGTGAAGTGCGGGAGGAGGGGTATAAGCCCTAAGACACCCCCCAGGTTGCTGAGGTGAGGGGTGCGTCCACGTGATGAGAAGAGCATCAAGTCTCATTTCGAA